TTTGTAGCCCAGGCTGGTCTCGAACTTGCAACGATCCTCCGGCCTCAGCCTCCCAAGTGCTGGGATTGCAGGTGTGCGCCACCACGCCCGGCCTTCATATATTCTTTACTAAGCCCAAGCAAACTCTTTTAGGCTTCCTTCTCCCAATTAAACCAAAGTTATCAGAAAGAAAGTTGCATTAGAGTGTCCAGGGGAAATTGGTTTTTAGCACTTCAGAAAGACACAAGCTGGACAGAAACTATGCTTAGAGAAAAGACATTTTCTAGTTCCTTAAAAATAAAACAAAAAATAAAAAAATCAATTAACCGGGAGGTTTAAGAAAGCCATGTCAAATTCTAGTAACTAATAGTGACTTTCAATAAAGACTTCCTGAAGTTTACTTTCAGCTATTATAAGGATTACTGTGTAGCCACTTTCTGTCTTGAAGGGACTCATGCCAATTATGTTTGACTACCTTTCTATATTGATTTATCCAGACACTATCTGCCCTATGGGAAACACATAAACTTTCTAGCCTTCACACATGGGAACACTTGGGAAATATCAGCAACAAGCTGTTAGTGACAGCGTGGGTTACTTTCTCATAGTAAATGGCCCTGCATCTGTCTTCCCGGTTGTGTGCTTGTGAAAGAATTGTCCTTTGACACAGTGTTGCTGAAGGGTGTAACCATGCCGAACTGGACATCCATTTATAATGAGAATCCTGGGGCTGTATGCAAACAAGGGTCTAAACAGAATATTCTTTTGAATAATTGGGAATTACATACATGAATAAATTTGGATATGAAAAATGTAGTCACAGATGGGAGAAGCCCTCGATTCATCAGATAAGTTGCCTTAAGAGAAACATTAAATCTGCTGCTAAAAATATGTCCAGGGTTTTAAGCAAATCAGGCACTTAAACTCAAGGCGATCACTTGGTTCCTAGCTAACGCCATTTTAAACGTGTTTGTGTAAAAACTGGAGGAGATCTACATAGGCCCACAAAGAGTTATGATTGATCTGTTGTATTTTCTAATTCTTCGTGATTCTTACAAACTATTAAGCTGGGTGTGGTGGCACACGCCTGTAATCCCAGCATTTGGGAGGCTGAGGCAGAAGGATCATTGCGAGTTTGAGACCAGCCTGGGCTACAAAGTGAGCTCAGGGCCAACCTGAATTGCATGGTGAGACTGGGTCTCAAAAAAAACCCCAACAAAAACAAAAACCCAAAAGCCTGAATTATATAAACTATTAAAAAGAAAAGAGAAGTTCATCGGCCCAAGAGAAACAAGAGTAACACCTACTGCCTCCTAGATATCCCATTAAGGGTCCTGAGTGCCATACTTTCAGCTCAGAATTTTGAAGATAAACATTCCTTTATTTCTTTTTAAATTTTGACCCTAAAGGAAAATCTTTGTCTTAGATTGTAAAGTCTGTAATGTCAGGTATTTAATATTTTATGGAAGATGAAACAACAGCAAATTTTGATGTCTGAACCACTATTAGTTGGAGAAGCCAATCAGCCATGTTCCCTTGAACGTCTACAACTCTCAGAAGTCCAGCTGGGAGCCTTTGTATACCTGGAACCTTCATCTACTTTGTATTTATAATAACATGATTGAACATGGTGTTCTTCAAACTCCAACTCCTGCCAAAGTAATAAATAGAAACGTAAAGATGCAACCTGCATGTAAGTTCCTTTCTTTTATTAACATCTCTAAACACACCCAGTTAGAACAGTAAAATGACAGCTCACAAACCCATCACTTGGACTCAATAATTATCAAGATATTGTCACATTTGGTCCTTCTGTCCTTTTTTTTGGTCTTTTTGAGACAGAGTCTTGCTATGCAGTCCAGGCTGGCCTTGAGCTCACTTTGTGGCCCAGGCTGGCCTCCAACTTGCAATGATCCTCCTGCCTCAGCCTCCCGAGTGCTGGACTACAGGCATGCACCACAATGCACAGCTTTCTTTCTTTCCCTGCCTTCCTTCCTTTTTTGGGGGGTGGGGGGTACCAGGAATCAAATTCACAACCTTGCGCTTGCCAGGCAGGCGCTTGTGCCACTGAGCTGTATCCCCGGCCTCTTCCTTTCTTGAGAGAGAGTCTCATTTTGTGTAGGCTGACCCTGGAGTCATATGTAGCTTAGGCTGGCTTCGAACTCACGGTGATCCTCCTGCCTCAACCTCCTAGATGCTGGAAGTGTACCACCACACTCACCTATTTTCTACCCAATATTTGAGTCTAACTTTATGTAAGTTATAGGGGAAACCAAGGATGCTCATCCCATATATTTCCCCACCTAGACACAGCTTCTGGAGTGTGTCTAAAACCTGAACTGAGAAACAGTAGCTCTTTCTCTTGCACACTTTTTTTATGTACCGTGTACATATACGTACATGCACTTTGTGTGTGTTAACTCCACCTTTCAGACTTCAACCTAAGGATCCCTGTATTCCACGGACAAGGCCTTCTGATTCCCCAGGTGAGGCACATATCTCATGCAAGCCTGTCTCTTTCCTTCAGAACCTGTATGTCACTGCTCAATCCATCTAATGTGACTACTCAGTGAACATCTGCCTAAACTTATATAAGTTCTACAACTGTAAAGATCACTTCTTACTTTTCCCACTGTTTTTTTTTTTCCTAACAGTTAAATTTGCTGCCTGGCAGATTGTAGGAGTCCAATAAATAATGAATTAATTCATCAGTGGACAAATGACTGCCCCAGCAAAGTTCTTTAGTAGTTATTATAGACTTCAGGAGTTCAAAATGGTGGCACACGCCTATAATCCCAGCACTCATGAGGCTGAGGCAGGAGGATCGTTGTGAGTTTGAGGCCAGGCTGAGCTACAAAGTGAGCTCAAGGCCAGCCTGAACTGCAGAGTGAGACCCTGTTTCAAGATGACAAAAAAACCTCTCCCTAAAAAACAAAATTCTGGAGTCATCTTTGACTCCTCCTGTCTCAGCCTCCTGAGTGCTGGGATTACAGGTGTGCGCCCTGACGCCCGGCCCAATTACATTTCTGACCTTGACATCCACCCCATACCCTCTGCTCTTTCCTTTCAGCCAGTCTTCCTCCTAACCATAAATTGAATGAGTGCACTTGTTTTCAGCTCAGTGTTTTGATATTTGCTGTTTTCTAAGTAAAACTGGATTTATTTAAAAATAAATAAATTTCTCTTTTTATCCCTCCTCTAGAAAATCTTTTTTTTTTTTTTTAAAGACAGGGTCTTGCTATGTAGCCCAGACTGGTCTCAAATTTAGGGCAATCCTCCTGCCTCAGCCTCTTGGGTGCTGGTATTGCAGGCGTAAGTCACCACACCTTGTTTAGGAGCGGCCTCCCTTCCTTTATTCAGATGGTGATTCTCTGAAGAACTTTTTACCCTGACTGGTCTTACCTAAAATCACAACTCACCCCTCACCCTACCCACTCTCTCTCCCTTTACTCTGATTTATTTTACATCACAAACTAAACTTTGGAGAGTTTCATCATATTCTAGCCCTGGCTTGTTTGTTCTCTGTTCTATCATCAGTATTTCAAATAGTGCCTGGTACAGAATATGTGTTCAAAAGGTAAGTGCTAGTGACAGAATAAGTAAATTATATTCTACTGTTCAGTCATACAACCCAAACTAAATTATTTAACCTTTCTCTGGGGGGCTGGCTATCAACTCCTTCATCTCTCAAAGGAGAGGTGAGCTCGATAATCTTCAAATACACATCAAGTCATAAAAATGTAATGCAACCCACTGTGTGTCTGGCACTGGATCGGTGATCTGGCTACGGGAAGAGGTCCCTGCTCTCGGGGACTTCGCTGTTCCCAGGTATACAACCAGTGGAGAATTACAGTGCGGAAGCTTCCAGGGGAAACATCTGAACATTCACCTGCATGGCCAGCCAGGTGAGGAGAAGGTGGAGGCCAGCGGCTTCCCGCGTGTGCACAGAGAACCCTTCCAGTATGCAGTCCCGGGGAAGGCAGGCGAGGCTAACCTGTCCGGGACCTGGCCGCAGGCTCTGACTTACACCGGTGGGGCCCTACTTCCTGCCCAGGAGCATTTACTGAAGGGAAGGGTGGCGTAGGGTCAGGAAGGAGCAAGAACTCCATTCCAGCTTTCAACTAGAATCTTTTTTTTTTTAAAATTTGTATCTTTTTGAGACAGGGTCTCGCTATGCAGTTCAGGCTGGCCTTGAGCTCACTTTGTAGCCCAGGCTGGTCTCGAACTTGCAAGGATCCTCTTGCCTCAGCCTCCCAAGTGCTGGGATTACAGGCGTGTGCCACCATGCCGGGCAAAGGTTGTAACATTCCCCCCGCTTTTTTTTTTTTTTTCCGGTACTGGGAATCGACCTCGCGCTTGCCAGGCAGGCTCTATGCCGCTGAGCTAAATCCCTAGCCCCCTAAAATCTTTGTTAGCATCCACCTATTTCACAAAATGAGGCGCTGAGGACGCACTTTGGTTCGATCTGCAACGTATTGTTTTACACCTCACAGTGTGTTCCACTCGCCCCATTCCTACAAATCACGAAGGTCCTCCGCGTTTTTTGGCCCGACGCTCTGAGAGCTACAGTCCGTGCTTCTCAGTGAGCGCGGCAGGAACCTGGTGGCTGAGCGAAACCGGGTGAATGAACATCAGCGGCAGGAGCAGCTCTCGGGAAGGGAAACGGGCCAGTCCTTCCGGATCTTCATAGTCTGCCCTTTCGCGCGCCTCGCGTGTTCTCGCTAGTCGGCCCCCCACAAGCCCTTGCGCTAACCTGGGCGGAGTCGACCTCTGGTGACCGTACCAACTGAAGAGTGCGGGGAGAGAGTGACTGAATGTGCTCAGGTGGTGGACTTAAGATGGAAAAATAAACACCGTAGTTAATACACACACCGATACTGTTCAATAAAATATATGATGGAGCTCTTATAACCCCCACAGAAATAAGTTTTTCCATCCTGCAGCAACAGAAAGCAGCCCTCTCCTCCCCCCACGCTCGGCGCGCCGGCCCTTGGACTCTCCCGCGCCGGCGACCCGCAGTCACGTGCTCCTCCTGTCCTTCTGGCGCAGCGTGCCTCTGCTGCGGGGAGAGCCGACCATGGCAGCCCTGCTGAGACCTGCCCGCTGGCTCCTGCGTGCCAGTGTGTCCCCGCGCCTCCCGTTGTCCCGGCGCCTCCTGGCGGGCGGCCCCGGCCGGCCGCTCGTCGCGTCTCGTTTGCCGGCCGCGCGCGCCCGGCCCCCAGCGGGGTGAGTGCGAGGCCCTTGCTCTGCCAGGCTGCACGGGGCGGTGGACCTCGGCGGCGGCCGGGCCGGGGAGGGGGCTCTCCACGCTCCTCGGCGCCCCGGGAGCCAGCTCCCCAGGCCGTTGGGCCGCGCTGCTTTCCGGCGGGGTTTGCCTGCCGGGGTTGAGGTCCTTCGGAAGGTCATGGCTGCGGGCATGGTCTGCTTCCGGCTTGATTCCTGCCGTCTGCTCCTCCGCACTGGCTTCTGTTGTTGGGCTACCGTCGGCCCGGGAAGCTGGGGGGGCGGGGTGAAGGCTGTTCGGGTAGGACGCCTACTACGAGTGTCCGTCTTGGGTGTTAACCCACGTCGGGTCACGTTGGTGATCAGTACTCGTTTAGTGTTGAGACTTTGGGAGCTTTTGTCTTTTTGAGACAGGGTCTCGCTGTGCAGTTCAGGCTGGCCTTGAGCTCGCTTTGTAGCCCAGGCTGGTCTCGAACAGACAACGATCCTCCTGTCTCAGCCTCCCGAGTGCTGGCATTACAGGTGTGCACCACCACGCCCGGCCTGCGGTGGGATTTGTAAGTGACACTGAGCAAATGAGCGCGTGGAAGGCAGTGTGTTGGGATCTGAGGGTGTAAAGGCGAGGTGAACTCTCACTGGCGATGAAATGTGTGAATACATGGCCTCCTGGGCTGAGATTCCAGGGAGGTGAGTTTGGCACAGACTTTCATCTTTATCTCCTCATTTGAAAAGACTGATGGGTTTGAGCATTGGAGAGAAACTGGCACTGAAAGACCTATAAATAAAGGCGCTTTGGGATCGAGCATGAAGATGAAGACCCATGGTCTGAAATGTCAGGGAGCTGAACTGCAGGCCCCTCTGTTTCATTTCATTGTGCCACTGAGCAAATCACCTACCGTGACCAGGCCTCATAAGCTAGAAGATGGAAACAATGATAGTGTGTCAGTATTACTACACAAAAGTATCTGTCTGAGGCACTTCTTGTAGGGCTGGAGACACGGTAAGTGCTTTGTGCTAAGTGCTTTGTTAGATAGTGTAATAGTCACAACTGTTACTTCATGGCCCAGCCTGGAAACCTAGTTCATGCATAAAGTGACGTGAAGGACTTTTTTTGTGTGGGTACCAGTAATCAAACTCAGGACCTCGAGCTTTCCAGGCAGGCGTTGTGCCACTGAGCTGTATCTAAGGCTCTCCAGGAAATATTTTATGATTCCTTAACAACGTAGTTGTTAATCTTCGTGCAATTTGGAGCCTGCTTGTATTTTTTTATTGGGCCTGAACAGTTAACCCTCAGAAGTCGTACCTGTGTTTCATAGGACTCCATCTTTCATCTTTCAGAGATGATTTTGAGAAAGTTGTGCCGCTTCTGTTTTTCTTGAGGCCGGGAAATGGTCAGTGTTGTCTTCATTGTTGCATTTGAGAAAAACTGAATACCTGGGGAGTGAATACAATTACGTAGGAAGGATATTGGTCTGAGTGTTCATCAGACCTGTCCATTTCCTTGATGCATGATCTGGGACATCTTATATACCCTATCAGAAACCTCCGTTTCATTATCTGTGAAGTAGGGTTAATCAGGCCTTTTCCTTATCTCTATAAAGCTGATTTCTTACCATTCAGGACTCAACCTAAATGTCTCTTTCTAGAAGTCTGACTTCAAACGTGCAAAAAAACACTATTACCCTATTGTAGTTTTATCCATGACATGTCTTACTACTACTAGTTCTGTTTCCTTCCTAGAAAGTAAGCTTCAAGGACTTTCTCTTGTCCACTACTATGTGTGCAGATTATTGGAGGTATAAAGGTATTTTTTTTCCTAGGCTCTAAATACTGTCTGTACAGCCTTGTATCCTGCAGCGTGTAAGCATGCCCACATCTTTCCCACCTGAAAAATTTTTTCTCAGGACTCTATTTATTTATTTATTTTTTTGAGACAAGGTCTCGCTATGCAGTTCAGATTGGCCTTGAGCTCACTTTTGTAGCTCAGGCTGGTCTTGAACTCACAGTGATCCTCCTGCCTCAGCCTCCTGAGTGCTAGGATTACAGGCTTGCAGCCACCACTGCTGCTTCTATTTACTGAGAAGCTTCCCAGTCTCTCTTCCTTGTCCGCACTCCTCTGTCTTCTTCATTTCCTCACTTTGATTCACTCTTCTACCTACAACCACCACTGGTAAAGGCCATCTTTGTCTTATTTATTTTGTTGTAGTTTAAAAAATATAAAATCCATGTGCTTTGAGGAACAGTTGCAGAATACGGGGGTGGAAAAACATTAAAGATTACCATTAGTTCTTGAGAGAGCAGTTGATATACTGTCTATCCACCTAATCATTAGTAAAATGTGTTTAATTTTTACAGAGGATGTCTTAATTATCCAGTCTACTTTTTTAGGCCTTAACCTCTGATGTCTTACCCTGTCTCCTAATTTCTGCTTCTTGTGACCCTTTTCTTCGCACTGATGGTATTGCTCTTGATTTTCTTTTTTTTTTTTTTCCAGAACTGGGGATCGAACTCACAACCTTGTGCTTGCCAGACAGGTGCTGTGCAGCTGAGCTAAATCCTCAGCCCCCTCTTTTTCTTTTCTTTTTTTTTTTTGAGACAGGGTCTCACTATGCAGTTCATTCTGGCCTTGAGCTCACTTTGTAGCCCAGGCTGGTCTCGAACTCACAATGATCCTCCTGCCTCAGCCTCCCAAGTGGTACGATTACAGGCGTGTGCCACCACCCCGGCTTTGATTTTCTTTTTCATTGGGGTTTTTCTCACTTTGTTGTTTCTTTTCCCCATGTTCACATATTAAATGTCGTGTCTTTGGGGATGTTGCCTTTGGTCTTTTTATGCTTTCTCACTCTTTTCATTTTCCTTGGGGGTCAGCTTTCCGTTTCAGGGCATCAGCCACTGCCTGCCTTTCTGATGATAACGTCCTGACCCACACAGTCTCTTTGCAAGCCTCCTCCAGGTCCAGGTAGGACTCTTCAAACCCAGTATGTATCAGTTTGGACTCAGCTTTCCTCCCAAATCTGTTTTCCCCTTGTTCTGTTTCTGTTAAATTTTTCTTCACTCACCCTCCCGTTTGACTGCTCTTTGTGCCTCCTCGTAGACCCTGTCTCCCTGAAACAGCCATTATCACTGTCACACAAGTAACCCGCACTGCAGACGTGGCTGTCATTTCCTTCAAGGCAGGGGTCTGGCCTTACTGTTCTTGCCTTTGCCTTTGGTGATATCTAACTTTGTGGCATGTGTCAGGTGTTTGTTAATTAAGGAACATCTTCAACATTGAGAAAGAAATATCGTGAGGTAAAAAGATTAAACGGTATCTAAGCCGCTCATGTACTGTGGTGTATTTCTGCAAATTTATCTTTATTTCCAGATAAATACTGTCTAGAGGAAAAGATGCGAATTATTGAGTGAAACTATTAAAATTTATAAATCTCCAAAGTTAAAACATCGGAAAGTGTGCACTTCTCCAGTGTTCTGTGGTCTTGCTCATCATCTTCCTGTGTTAGCCCTTTGTAAAAACCAAATGCTTTCTTTTGGATCTTACCTATTTGCCGTGAGGAGGACAAAGAGCAAACACTTCTCACACTTGGAGATTAGAAGCTGCCTGTATGTTTCTTGTGTGAGATTTCAGAATAATAGTTGTGTGCTTCAGAGGAAAGATAAGCCTATCTGTTTGGAAGCATCTAGACAGGTGATTGTCCCAAAGGTGGAAATCATGGACGCTTCACGATAGGATAGTATGACTTCTAAAGTTGGAAAACTTTCCCTTGCTTACCTCTTATTTTAGAAACATTTCAACAGATACGAAGACTGGTGGAATCCTTTGGGCTGGTGAAGTCTGTCAGATTCCACTTCTGCTCCCTGTGCAAGTTTATAGATCATAGAAGACTGACACGCACGTTTATATATGTGCTGTCCGTAAGAGAGGAATATAATACTGTACTGTTGTATTTCAGAGAGAAAGGCATTCATACTTGTTTTGTGGTAAGGGGTCACTTGAATTTTAGAGCACAGATGTTAAGTGGATATTCAGAGTCTTCTAGAGTAGAGAAAGAACCCTGTGAAGACTCGGATGTCATACTTTTACCCTGTCAGGCATGGTGGGAGCTGATACTGCAAAGGCCAGTTGACTTCTTGAAGCTAGCAAGGTTGGTTGGTTGATGGTTGGAACTCATTGGAAGGTTTTGAGGAGTATGGGTCTTGACAAAGTTTACTTAGACTGCAGGAGAGATGGAGACTGGGACTAGACAGAAATAGTCTTCATCAAAGAGAATTTCCAGAATTGCTTCAGAAAGTGGCAAGGATCATGGAATATGTGTATAAACTATGTAATATAAAGCTAAGGTGAATATTTTGAAGGGGGATTAATGGTGGTGTGTCTTTCACTGAAATAAATTTTTTTTTTTTTGGTACCAGAAATCGAATTCAGGACCTTGTGCTTGCCAGGCAGGCAGGCAGGCAGGCAGGTGCTTACGCCACTGAGCTATACTATACTAATTTAAAAAAAAACAAACTTAAACATTCACTGTATATTTTGATCATACGTCATATGTCTGTGGGTTTCTTTTTTCCCCTGTACTGGGCTTGGCACGCAAAGGCTTATACCTGCTAGGCAGTGCTCTACCAGTGAGCTGCATACCTGGCCCCTAAGAATAGAGATTTTTTTCTTCAGTGAAGCAGCTAATGCTTAGAAAGACCCAGTATCTTTTCTAGAGTCATATTATGTTGAATAGCATAGCTTGGATTGAGTAGGCCTTTTAAAATAAGTCTTGTGATTTCTGCTAATTCATTAAAGAAGAAAACACTTTAGTAAATACTTAGTTAATATTTGTTAAGCTCACCTTCCCTGGTCTCTTATGTACACTTTCTCAGTCTTGCTGAAACTTTGTACATTTGTATGTTGCCTTCACTTTTTTTTTTTTTTTTTTTAGTCTTTTTGAGACAGGGTCTCCCTATGCAGTTCAGGCTGGCCTTGAGCTCACTTTGTAGCCCAGGCTGGTCTTGAACTC